GCGGGGCCGGGAGCGGGATCGGGATCGGGATCGGGATCGGGGCCGGGACGCGAGCCCCGATCCGCGCCGCGGGAGACCCGGCACAGCCCCTGGCCGCCCGCGGGAGCCCGTCGGGGGTACCGTCCCCTCCCGCCCCTGCGACCCGCCCCCGGACGGGACCGGGAGCCGCGACGGCTGCACCGGGGCCGGGGGGACGGCAGGAAGCGTGACGGCGAGACGAAGGACGACGGCGATGCCGACGAGGATGAGGGCGATGACGATGAGCACGATCCCAATGCAGAAGGATTTCATAGGTCCGCAGACGTCAGGGCTGGACGGGACGTCGGCAGATCGTCGAGTCCAGCCCCCGCCCAGGGCCAGGAAGTCAGCTGGGGTCACAGGATCATGATGATTGTGATGTCATCCTCATGCCGCCGATGAGCTTTATCGTCATCTTCGTTCCTGCTGTTATTATCGCCGTCACCACCACCACGGGGATGATGATGGGAACTGTCGTAATTAATAATGGTCATCATGATCATCGTCGTTCTTGTGACCTTCACAGCAAGCATGGCCATGGCCACGATGCTCATTGTCAGCATCTTTATTACTATTAAGAAGAACTACAGAAGAAGAGTTCTCACTGTTAAGGCGCTGATGACATCATCACCGCCACCTCTGTCATCAGGAGGATAACGGCGATGACGGGCATTGCCGTAATCAATACTGATGATCATGATCATCGTCATTCTTGTTGTCGCCATAGCAAGCATGCGCATGAAGATGCTCGTTACCATCATCTTTATCGTCATCATCTTTATTACTATTATGAAGAACGACATAAGAAGAGCTCTTACTACGAAGGTGATAATATCATCGTCACCACCACAATCGTCATCAGGATAATGAGGATGACAGTCATTATCGTGATGATTGTGATCATTCTTGCTATCGTCACAGCAAGTATGACCATGACGATGACCATCATTATCATCATCATCCTTATCGTCATCTTCGTTCTTACTATTATCGTCGTCACGACCACAGGCGTCATCAGCATAGCGATGACGACGGCAGGATCATTATCAGCGGGGATGATTATGATCCTCGTCATTCTTAGCACCATAACAAGAAAGATAGTCCTCGTCATCATTATCCCCGCCACCGTCATCACCAGGGTAATGACGATGTTCATCGTCATCGTCCTTACAATCACAGCAAACGTGACCGTGACGATCATCATCATCTTTGTCGTCCCCATCCTTCTCGCCATTACTGTGATCATCAGGACAGCGGCGATACCTCCTCCTCCTCCTCCTCCTCCTCCTCATTACTGCCGTCATCATCATCCTCTTCGTCATCATCCCGTTGTTATTGCTATGGAGATCGATGATGTCAACATCCGCCACGAAGCTGAGAGCACCCGCAGTAACAACGACGGCGATGACGACGATAACGACGACAATAATAATGACGCCCGTCCCGGTGACGTCACAGCAGTACTAGTGACGATGACGACAATACTGGCGGTCGCGACGACGGTGACGACAAGGGCCGAGCGGCCGGCGCGGGGGCGGGGGCGGGGGCACGGCCCGGCGGCCCGGTTCAAGCCCGGCTTCGCGCAGCCCCTGCACGGCTCCGGCGCGGGATTTTCAGCCGCTGGCGGAGGGGAGGGGAGGGG